AACTTTTGCATCAAATAAAAGAAATTAAAATCCATAATAATAGACCAAATTTGAAGAATAGCTTAAAGTGCATTCACACCGGAATATATAGTTTATGTGGAAATTTGCGCTAAACATAAGAATTCTCTCTCTCTCTCTCTCTCTCTCTCTCTCTCTCTCATCTCGTCCCTTCTTCTACACTGAGAAAGATATCGATTTTTGTAGGCTTTCATAAAATCATTACTGTTGGCTCATATAAAGCAGAGGCAATACAACAAAAATAACTGTACTCTTACAGCAAGTAATGCATTTGCAACGAGTGAACGGCCAACGACCTCATCCCAACTCTCTTCCTATGCTCACAATCCATGCGCGCGAATAGAAACTGTCGGTTCTCTACACTCTGTCTGACTTACAATTTACATATATTTCTATCATTTCTATTAATTAATGCATTTTTAATTGTACAAATAATTTCGTTAGAAAATCACAAAACATATTCTAATTTTAAAATTTTTTATTTATCGTAATGTTTGTTGAATGGGAAATAAATGCGATAATAGAGTGTCACCAATGATACCGAAAACAGCATCTTTTGTGATCCAATATTAAGGCAATGAACTCGAGTTAGTGCACTGCATAGGCAGCACAACCTCTATTGAGCCCAACTTCTAACCGTGAATATTGATTTTAGCAGAGTTTTGCTTTATTACTCACTCTATCCATTCATATACTACACTTTTGCTTATATTTCATACAATTTTTTAAATATAACATTATAAATGTTATTTCCTATATTATAGAAATTAATCCAATTCTTGAGACATAAATATAGTAAATCTCCATTTACTATAGTTTACTATGAGTTTCAATACAAGAATCCAATGTTTCCAAAAATAGACTTGAAATCACACTCACTTGCAATACACGGATTGTTTGCAACAAAGCCTAACTTCTCATTGTATTGAATGAGCACTACTATAGATAAACGCAACCCTAACTTAAAACCATTAATATCTAATAATATTACATAATAATGTAGTTAACTCATGTTTATTTATAAATATATTCACTGGCAGTTTATAATTCTATATCTCATGTCATCATAATTAAGCATCACATTTTATATGTTTATTTATTTCGAAATTAAATTTACAAATTGAATTTATAAGTTAATTATATATTCTATCTGTACATTTAACATGAATTTGGTAATTATATAAATATTTTATTGTAGATATAAACAGAAATGTACATGTATAGTAAATGTAAATATAAATATTATGAATCTAGAAGTAAACAAAATGAAAACAATGCAGAGATTGTTATTTGATGAGCATTTGATACCAGTATGAATTCAAATTGATATCTACTGCATATAAAATAGAGAATGTAATAATTATAAGCATATTATATATTAAAATGTTAGTTATAATAGTAGTAAAGTATTTATTTGTAGTCATATATTCCGTATATTCCGTATATTCTGTGCCTTTTTTAGAGTCGATTCCAGAGTAGAAATGAGGCTCAAGAAGGACAGAGTCGTGTTTCCATAGCAACCTATATAGCAGGTCAGAGACCCTTCTCATCAAATAAGTATTGATTTTATGGCATTATTTCCACTTTACTTATGACTTTCGTTTATAGAGTACTGTTTCCAAACATATTTCCAAATGAATCTTGTTTTAGGAAATAATCAAAACTTAAAATTACAAATAAATGTGTTGGAGATAACACAATCAAATGAGATATTTATACAATTTGTTTAGTTTAACATTGTTCTATAAATAAATACGTCAAGCAAAGTATATTAAATTTATAATAAATATTTTCTTTAAAATTATGTAAACCTAAAACCTCAACACTTGAACCCTTTAGTACTGTACACTATCGGCTAAAATATATTAATAAAACAATATTTATTGTTAAGCTATCTATTGATTTTTACGGTAATATTCAGTATAAATAAATTATAGATTTCAAATGAAATCTAAAATTTAGTGAAAGTTCCAACATTTTTGTGTTAATAAGAAAAAATAAATAAATTTTACAAATCAATGACTTGTGAAAAAACAATTTAATATATTGAGAAAATATTTTCATCGCATAATAGTTAGCATTGAAAGTGTAGTCAAAAAAAGCTCAAATCGGGAATATTGGGGGAGAAGTAGTGTTTGGCCCACATTTGGGCTGAAAAGTGCAGAAAATAGGAGCGAAAGTGAACTGAAGAAAGAAACGAAAGCACGGAATCCCGTCAGACGGGATGGTATGGCATGGAAAGGTATACGATTGGTATAGTAAGGCATGGAGTGGTATGGAGTGGTTGATTGGAAGGGATGGTACACTAACTTATTACAAGCGTCGAGCAATATATTTCTTATATAAAACTGGTCTATAACTGGTTGGGTGAGTACTAATGGCCTGACACTACATTCACTACATATTATGAGTGTCAGTCAGAGTGAATTCAAGGTGAAAGTGATGGCATACAAGTCCTCCACCAATCCATACCATACCTTAATATGTAAGTTCATTAACATGAGAGCACCTGCTATTAAAAAATAAGCTCACCTTGAATTGAAATCATTGAATTGTATTGTCAGACACCGACAACACAGCCAACAGCCCATCGCAGACATACTTTTTAAGTATAGCTTATTATACGAGAATTGAATGAAAACAAGATTTCAAGTCAAACAAAGAGATTAAACTGTTATGCAATTTGCAAAGGGATGCCAATTGGAAAGGGATACCATTAGTATCATAGTATCAATTGTTTTATATACTTACACTTACACATCAATATAATTAAATATACAGTAGTATACTGTATAGTATATAGTATATGAATGAAATAAAAAGCACAGAATCCATAGAATTAGTATTTATTGAATGTTTTTTAAATACTGTTTAACATCGAAAAGTTGAAAATAAAATACAATCTTTGATATCTTTATTAATAATATTAAACTCGAATAATAAAATATATGGGAATAATATATCTTAGAAGATGTGGAACTCTTTGTCTCAAATATTAGATTTAAAATTGTGTCAAATGTTGTCAAATGCTTTCAAATGACCGTTTGTTACAATAATTGTAATAATAAAGTGAAAAATTGTTACAATCAAACAATATTTCTCATGCAATCAAACACAACCCATTTATAGATAAATTAAGAAATGAAAACTACAAACAATGCAATATTTGTTGAGCTCTTTTGATGGTGTTTTACATAACTCTATGATAATAACGAACACTTGTTTTACAATAATTTTGTTAAAAACACATCTTTTGATAAATGTTTCTATATTTAGAAATACATATTCATATCATATGTTTATCACCAGAACATTACTGCTAATTATATATAATCTTAATCTTACTGTTAATTAATATACAATTTATTTATCATAATATAGTTATTGATCATAGTTTTGACAGAATTATATTATATTTTACTTAATATATCTTATATTTATATATATATATTTAATTAATTTATAAAAAGGTGTGCAAACATGTGTTGCATGTATTGCTACCTTTGAGTTCATATAATCTAAGAATTAGTCTAACTTTTGAAGACATTTTAAGACTTTTAAAACATCTGTTTTAAATACATTAAAATTCATTCAAATTTATATTATTTTAATCGACAATTGAAAGATGGGATAGGATTAGGAATCAAAGATAAATTCATTTATCCATTAATTCGGGTCTTAAAAAGTATAAGTTAACAAACTTTACGAAAATGAGATGAAATATTAATTATTAAAACTATAAAAGATTTATTAAAATTTACTTTGGATTTACTAATAGAAAATTTAGTGAATTGTCATTAAGTGTTTTATTTCTTTTGTAATATATTTTTATATATCATATATAATAATAATTTCATTTTTCCTTAAAATTCTGTTCATATAATTTGTGTGAATCTAATAATTCTTGTAAATTAAAGTATAATTAAATCTATGGTATATAACAAACAGGACATCATATCATATGATAGCTGCGCCACTTAAGTAATAATAATCTGAATCTCAATTTACAGCAATTATATATAAATGAGTTTAAGTTTAACACAAATGTAATAAAATATTTGGTATGTTTTCATCCCATCCGAGGGATGAGCAAAACATTGATAAAAGATTGCATATAATTTATAATCAAAATTATTGATTTATAACATCAAATAAGCTTATTAATAATTATCTTAAATTCTGTGAAATTCCTTATAATTTTGTTTAATTCCATGTATTAATTAATTTTGTGAAAGTATTGTCAATCAATCGATCAATGAATGGCATTATTGTAGCACAAAGTCATCATAATTGCAATTATTGCTAAACTCGAAAACTCTTTGCAATTCTGCAGCTCTTACTCTACTATTCATATCATATCTTATAATATATAGTATTTAAATATATTTCAATTTCATATAACATAGAATTAAATGTCAATAATAACAAAATGATTTAAATAATAAAAACACAATCAAATGGTTTGCGAATCTGTAAATCAATATTTAAAAACTAATTTATGCATAGATTAGGCGATGAAATATAAAATGATTACTCTGTCTGTTAAGTGGTATACATTTGAAACGATTCAAACAAATCACAAATAGATTATAATGAAATAAAAATTAGGTAATAATTAAAAATAAAATTGAATTTATGGTTTTGTAGAAAAATAAAAAATTGGAAGACTATAACCTATACTATACTAACTGTAAGTAGTCTTATGTCTAACACAATAAAAAAAACTAAAATATCATTTCAAAAATTAATAATAAATGCATTTAAATCTTAAAAAATCAAACACTTATTAAAATTAATAAAATTATAATTTGAGTAATAATTACGGTTTGAGTTCATATTTTCTGAGTTTTTAGTCTTTGATTATTTTAAAGTGTTTTGTATTGAGAGTGCGATCGAGAGCTGCTCTTACACTATAAGTCTTATAATAATATTAATTATATTTTATATATTTATGTAGTTTTTTGTTGAATAAAAAACATTTGTATCTGTATTTGTCATTAGCGCTAAAATACTGATTTGTTTTGATAATTAAAATAACGTTAAATCATAAAAATAGCGAATATTGGTATTCGTGGTACGATTTACCGTCACTTTTAGATCATGGATGGGGTGGTAGTGGATGTGTTGATGGGACTGTCGAGGCTTGAGCTGCGGCGGTCTAATGGAGAGATGTTTGACATGTAGGTGCGTTGTGCTGAGAAGTCCGGCCACAAAGAGCTGGCGATTGTGTTGCTGCCGGTGCTGCCGACTGAGTCGAAAGTGGGAGATTCGCCGATGCCTTCGTCCGTGTCGTACGAACCGCTGGATATGGACTTCGAGAAGCCGTTGGTACCGGTGCTGTTGGCCGCGAACAGCGAGTAGATGTCACTCATCTTGTTTTGGTTCACGAAGTTGAAGATATCGGTCGTCGAGCGCGAGACCAACGACTGGTTCGACACCGAAGTGTCCGATCCTCGCGAGGAAAACGCAGAGAACGGGTCCGAAGATGTCTTGTATTGTGAGGCGAATCCGTTGGACGTCGTGTTGGTCGCGAAGGGGTTGTCGATGCCGTTGAGAAGGGGTGAGTTGGAGAAGTCGGAACTGCTCTCATCGGTACTGCCAGCGCCAGAGGAGTCGATTTGGCCACCCGTGCGGATAGCGATGTGCGCTTCGATCTCCTTTCTGGCAGTTTCCACGTTATCCGGAAGACCTGTCACCTCAAACACCGGCTCTTTGTCTCGACTCGGAGTTATGATATAAGTGTTGGTCTGTTGTTGTATTCGCTTAATAGTCGCACCTTTAGGTCCGACCACAAGACCCACAACTCGATATGGAACGCGAACCTGAATAGTGGTCTGTCCGGGAACGTTGGCATTGGGAACGGGTCCTCCGATAGACCCATTCAGGTTACTCTTGCGTTGGGCCCGGATTTGGCTGAAGTGCTCGGCGGCCGACAGGATCTCCCTCTTGGCTGCGTTCACGTCCTCCTTACGGCCCGTCACCACAAACACCGGCTCTTCCCCTCTCACCGGAGTCTTTATGTATGTGTTAGTCTTCGCCCGAAGAGCCTTTATCTTACAGCCTATGGGTGCCAGAGGTGGGCATCGGGAGAAACGACAGGGAAAGTGTTAGTCAAATGAATCCATATTTCATGAAATTATTGCAAAAACGAGTTTTAAAGCTTTTAAATGCTATTCAAGAGGGCTTTGTTTTTTGTATGAGTTTTCAAATATATTAATAGAAATCGTGAGTCTCTTATATAAGAGTGAGTTTTTATAGCAACAAATTGTGAGCAAAAAACTGATCCCAAACTCAACACATATGTGACGTCTAGATGTTGTTCAGTCAAAGTGTTGGCAAATCAACAAAGTTAGGGCACATTTTCAGCTAAAAAAGCATTGCTATCGAGGCATAGGAGGGGAGACTTTGGCTATAAATGCATTACTCCTATAGCCAGGAGAGAGAGAGAGAGAGAGAGAGAGAGGGAGAGAGAGAGAGAGAGAGAGAGAGAGGGAGAGAGGGAGAGAGAGAGAGCGAGAGAGAGAGGGAGAGAGAGAGAGGTGTTGGTGAGTGAGTGTATGCCATGTCTTAGTCGCCCCCATCTCTCATCCCTAACCATAGCTGAGGGATGTATTGCAGAGAAGCCGTCGACTCTAACAATGAGTGAATGAACAAAGAAATTGCGGACAAAAACTGTTTGAATCATAATATGAGTGAATCTCATGTGAAGAGCACATTGTCTCGCATTGGATCACATCCTATGCTATCATAGCATACCATTCAATACAATTAGTGTCCATTAGACACATCCAGACAATCATAGTGTCAGGCATTGGCTCTTATATGGTATGAAACCAACAGAAGCTGTGTTGGAGTGCTTTAAAGACACGCTTTTGCGGACAAAGAGGTGGTGGACAGGGAGGACAGGGATGGTGACTGTGGTGGACATACCTTGTCGGCCTACAATCTCGGCCACGTGTTCACTGCTGGGGACGGGAACACATTCGGTGGTGTTCTGCGACTTCTTGTTGCGGTTGTCGGCCTCGAAGTTCTGTCCGATGGAGTCGTTGCAGTCGTTGTCGAGACTGATCCGCGACAACTCCAGTGCCAACTGAATAGTCCTGTCGTCTGGATATGAGTTGCCATTCATTGTGGAACCGTTGGACACGTTGTGGTCCATCTCATAGAAAAGACTCGCCGGCATTGTCTGAGATATTCGTTGAGATTACTGTCTGAAGACTGATGGGTCCACTGCTAGCGGTCACAGAATAACCATTGGATTCACTGAGAGATAAATGTTAAGAAAGTCTTCGTGTTGACGACAACACAGTGTATATAAAATCTTGGCTTTGGATGCTTGGATCAAATGAGATGTGCTGTGTCTCCACTCTACTCATGGATGACTAACACACTATAGTTGTGTGCGAAGGGATACAGTACTACAGTAGGTCTGACTGTGAGTGGAGTATTGGACT